ACGTGTAATCACCACCTCCTGTAGTTTGTGCTGGCCAAATTTCAGGTGTGTACGACCTTCCCTGTAGGAGGAGATAGATTTTGAAAATGGACAAAAATGGCCAAAAGTCTGCCAAATGCGCCAAAATTGTCACAGGGGTTTTTCAACATAACGGACTTCCTGTTGGGTTTAGGGCTTGGCGCTGATTGACTTTTTTGTGCGTCCTGACCTGCTACACATGGTCATTGAATCTTGTAGCTGTAGGTGAAACGACCTTCTGACAGGACTCCATTGAATGCCAAAAACACTGCGAAAATGGACAAAATGGCCATTGAGCAAAATTGGACGGGCCGCCATTTCCAAACCGGGTCTCATCTGCAGAGTGTTTCAGTATCTTTTAATCACCACGTCATGTAGTTTGTGCTGGCCAAATTTCAGGTGTGTATGATGAATCCCCTCGGAGAAGTTCGATTTTGAAAATGGCTAAAAATGGCTATTTTTGAGCAAAAATGGCCTGGCATGCTCGCCGTTTTTCCAACATGGCGAATTTCCTGTTGGGTTTACAGAAACATGCTAATGGACTTTTTTGTGCGTCACGAGTTGTTACACATGTGTGGCGAATGTCGTAGGTGGAGGTGAAACGTAGCCGCGATGGGACTCTGTTGAAATACTGTAGGGGGCGCAGTTGAGCCATGTTGCATTTTACAGCTTGGAGCAGAGAGAGTTTTTTGTTCGTGCCGACCAGCTCTATATGCCTATGAAATTGCGTAGTTCTAGGGCAAACGTGCTTCGGACAGGACTCCATTGAAATTTTCAAGGTGGCGCTGTGGAGCCATTTTTGCCGTGACATGTCCACATCTCTGATAGTTTCCGATTTCCNAAAGCAATTCAATAAAAAGGTCAGTAGTGGACAGAAAGTTATGATATTCACACCCAGAACTAGTGATTATTTATTAGTGTTCATCAATCAGTGCAGTCCTGCAAAGACAGGATCATAAACCTGTTTGTGCTCTTAAATAAGTTAGTTAAAGGTGGATTAAAAGGGTTTTAATAACAGCATCAGAGTGAGCCCTCTGTGATCAGGTTGTCAGAAGTAGTCACAGAGTGAGCGCTCTCAGTCCACATATCTGTGTAGCTTCATGCTAACCTCATTTCTAACGTGGAGCCTTAAACTCGGACAGAGCTCGTTCATTAATGCTGCTGCTGATGTTTTCATGACACGCTTCTGCCTCGGAGAGTATTAGTCTGTAACTAAAATGTGCACATTAGCACCAAACACGAGTGTCATGCCAGCAGTTGTCTGTTGGTGAAGCAGTTAAACTGTGTCTTCTGCAGGTTTATATGTCGGTAGACAGGTGACACTCGGTTGCAGGACATGTGTGATACTTCATCTTCAGGAATACGTCGGTGCTTGTCTACTGGTCTGTTTTATTTTCACTGTAGTGTTTCAACACTGGTCCAACTATAGTCAACACTGATGTAAAGCACAGGAAACATTGTGTGTTTATGTGAAGACTTTGGGGTGTTAACCAGCTGCCTAACTATGCACCAGATCACGCCCTGCAGAGGTGTCAGACTACGGTCACAAAACAATCAACAATGCTGATGATCTAATATCATAATATTGTGACATCTGGTTGGATTTTTTTTTTTCGCTTTTTCCACAATGAATTAATCAGAAACACACTAAACTCTTGCACAATAAGGGGATCATTTCAAATTGCTTCTTATAATAGAAGTTAAAAAAAAAATGAATAAATGACTTTGAAACACTTTGAAATGATTTTTGGTATTTCTCAAAAATAAAAGACAAACAATTCACTATCGAAATTGTAAACTACTGATGGACTAGACTGTCTTTACCTCATTATATCTTCTACAATAACTCAGTGCTTGGTTTTTATGCCCGTATTTTGCACTGTTTCCCACATTTATACAAACTTTACCGACTTATTTGGTCCCAGTAAAGTCCTGCAGCTGCATTCTGGCCAGTTAGCAAACCAGCTAATAGTCTCAAACCAAACAATGCGGCCGCTGCTAGCTTGAAACAGGCCACAACCGGCACAAACAGCAAAGACTGCGACTAAAATAACGCGTTTAACGGGCTGAATTTTATTTTTAGCCTAGTTTGTAACAAAACACAAGCGGCTGAAAGCGCTCAAAACCGCGGTGTAATTCAAAATAGTGAGCTTATAGGACCTTACCTTGGTCTCTACTGTTGGACGGAGAGGGAGAATGTGGATTAGTTATCGCGAGATGTGAGTTTGGGGCGAGATTCTCGCACCGCAGATCTACACGTGCCCTGGATCGCTCTAACTGCAGGTCCGCGGACAGCCGCACTGTTTGTAGAGTAGCTGTAATATATATAGCGTATTAAACAGGTGTTTAAGGAGCTTTGCTGTTTGGTTGAATATTTATTTAAAATATTAAACAAGAACGTAGAGTAAATTATTTACGCAAACGTGTCATTTTTATATATTTTTTAAAATTCAAATTCAGCGTGGTTTAGTCCTTTCTATAAGTGCTTTATTTCCTAATGAGACTTTCTTTAGGACCTGCGCGTCCCCGACACACTGCAGAAAATAAACAAATGGGTGACAGTCCGCTGTGCCGAAGGAAATAGAGGATATTATAACAGGTGGGTTAAGGAATTTACTATCACTGCTCAATTATAAAACACTGTCAGTGGGAAAGCTTTCAAAAAACGGTATTTAAATACGACTATATTATATCCTGTGTCTCCTTAAACACACTCGATCAGACTGTCGACACTTTGAAAAACGTGGACGAATTTCTTGTTTTTGCTTTGTAGTTGCCATCTAGGATGCATTTTGCAACCATCGGGTTAAACTTCACCCTCAGTGTTAAAAAGCTTGAGGCAGATCCTGACACGTTGGAGGCTCAGTCCAGCCCAGAAGTCTTTACATTTTAACCTCATGTTTGCACCTTTTTCCAGTTATTTCAGAGCAAAAATTAATATTAAAGCCCCAACGGCGATGGACGGGTCCTCGCCCTACGCTTGTTTGGGGCAGATTGGAGTATGTGTGGCGCAGTTACGAGCCACTTCCTGTTTAGTGGCGAGCCGCGGCGGCGTGCGTGTTGGCCGGGGTGGAAAC